TTTAGGGTTTAGGGTTTAGTACAGTAGAGTATAGCATAGTGTAGTATAGTGTAGTGTAGTGTAGTATAGTATTGCATTGTATCGTGTAGGGTGATTACAGGGGAGGGGTTCTGATGCGGCTCTTGATAGCGATGGAACTGCAACGCGAGAGAAAGAGGGAGAGAAAAACGGAGGCAGAGACGGAGACACGAAGAAACAGACGGAGATAGAGAGAAGAGTACATGCGATGGCCATCCAGAGGCATTCCAAGATCCGGAGACATCTGTGCGGGGTTCCGTTGCCACCGCAGAGAGCATGCGCATAATTACAGGTCCAAATCTAGCAGCGTGGCTGGGCCCGGATGTGTAAAAACCACTGGGATGCCACAAAACCTTTTTGAGCCCTGACAGGCAAACACACTAATTCACTAATTCAATATAATCACAAACCGCGAACACTGTCACGAAGCTTGTCCGCCTAGAAACCTTAACAAGGACTTTGTAAGGACCCTGGCGAAAAGCAACATACACACTTTCTGCACAGCAACTGTTCCCTGCCTGCCCCCGTGGAAAGCACACGGCTGCGCGCACGGTGCACTTTCGACATCAGCAACTGCATTGTCCGCCTCAGCGATTTACCCAAGTGGGTCATGGCTCCTTTGGACGGTTGGCTGCGGCCCAATGCTCATAATTTCGTGGACAGGGCAGTATCCCTTAAAAGGGGCAGTATCCCTTAAAGGGGGCAGTTTCCCTTAAGGGGGGCAGTATGCCTTAAAGGGGGCAGTCTCACTTAAAGGGCGCAGTCTCCCTTAAAGGCCCACCAAAACTTACAGTTAACAATCCTCATGCGGATCCTACAATCACCAGCCAACTCAGTCGGGCTACAGCCGCGCGGGCGAGCTCCGCGCAGGCCTTGAGGGTAGCTAACGCCGATGCTTCACCTCGCAATTTGGCTCAAGATCCCCCACCCTGAACGCGAACATAACTCAGTCAGGAATTGTGGCGCAGCCTATAAAAAGTGAGGACCACAAGCGGTTGCTGTCACGGAATATTCTGAGAATAAGCAGACCCCTATCCAAGTTCAACAGCGGAAGGTCATCAGGAAGAAGAGAAAGGGGTGCAGGGGGTACCACTGGGGAAACTCCGGATGGAATGGAAGTTAGGCCCTATACCCTAAACCCCAACCCTAATCCCTAAACCC